TACTCAAGGCTCTTAGTTAGGACCTGAATTTGAATTTGTGTGTCCAGAAACAGCCAAGAGTGGGTGGTATATATATATATATATATATATATATATATATTCCTCAATGGTTTGATAAGACAGAGTTCTTTATTTTTTTTTCAAAGTTTTATTGATAAACAGATAGCAATGAGACAGTTTCAAATCAAATCAGAAGTACAGTTTCAACAAATAATACACTGCAGGGCTGGAGAGATGGCTCAGTGGTCTAAAGCACCTACTTAGAACAAGCTTAGCAAAGCATCAGGGACCGCGGTTCAATCCCCCAGCACCACATGCCAGCCAGCCCCGCCCCCTGGTGGGCTGAGCTGGCCACACACACACCTCTCTCTCTCTCTCTCTCTCTCTCTCAAATAAATAAAAAAAAATTAAAAAAAAAAACAAATAATACACTGCATATATTCTTCTTAGTGGTCAATTGCTGTACAAGATGCGGACTTGTGATCCTATTTACAAACACCATTAGAACAAATCATTCTATTCATTAAGAGAATGCAACTATATATCTATCCCAACCACTTTGAATACACAGATACAAAATGGACATTCATCGGTATACCCCATTTTTTCTAAGTTCCGTTATTGAATATTATAGGTGTGTAAACTCAGCAAAATATTCTAAAAGAGTCCAGTAGCCCATAATACCATTGGGTCTTCTGTTTAACTGGCAATGTCAGAAATTATTGACCTGAGTCCCCCAGAGTTCTTTAAATAGTTACCAGTGTTCTAAATGTGTCTTTGACCTCTAAAAACATTTTTTGCCTTCTTTTGTTTTCCTTTGACCTTGAAAATTCTTCGGTTTTAATATTTAACCAATTCATAACTCCTAATATTCATGTGGAGCTTTTGCTTGGCAAATTTTAAAGCTCAGCCTTCTTTCATCCTATCACTTAGCAGACATGTAAGCTCCTACAGTTTGCTTGAAAAATGTAAACCTATTAATTTTAGCTTAAACAAGATAGAACCAATGCAAGTCTTCTGCTAAAACAAGTGTATAGCATGGTTCAAAGTTCAGTGGAAATAACTTTAATCACTTAATTGATATTTACAGACACCTTCTGAGTTTCAAAACTTGTGTTAGCAATTCAGGCAGAGTGGTAGAAATCAGATGTGGCTTTGATTTATTTATAATATATATTAACACTGATAATAAGAGCCCACGAACAATATACCATGATAGAAAAAGACAACAACCGAGTAAAATGAAGTACTATGGACCTTTAGAGGGGAAAGGTGATGTATTTATGATGATAGGAGACGTTGACAAGTGGGAGTAGATCGAAGTCATGGTAGATCAGGGACATGTAGGGGAGATTTGGACTTAAGGGAGAAGTGATTAAATTGGAGCAAAGGCTTTGTGAAGTTGAGTGAAGGGAAAAAGTGTTGGAAAGCAGGCTGGGGCCTGAGATGTCCATTTTGGGAATCTATAATTCTTTGAGTGTTCTTGGGAGCCATCAAAAGTGCTTCAGCGTGCTGGTTTTACATTGTGGGGTACTATGTGTGACTGGAAGAAGTTCATCAGCTAGGAAAACAGAGGACAGGTGTTCATAGGAGGAACCTGGCAGTAAAATGCATGTCAGTTAGAAAACTGGAGCAGTTGGCCCAGGTGGAAACTAAATTGGGTCAGAGCCTGGGTTGCAAAATAGCAAATGAAATAAGTCAGGTTTTATAGGTAAATCAATAGGACTTCACCTTTTATTGGAAATGAGAAACATAAGAGAAATAAAAATGTTGAAATTTAAAGTCGAGAGGTTTTAAGCTAGTCGAACTAGATATCCAAAGAAAACAACAAAGGAGTAAATTTGTATGGGAAGGTATGAGCTTGACTTGATATATTGAAGTTACCCTGCTAAACTTTGCAATGTGAGGTGTATAAGTTCTTGTGATTAAAGATGGAGGCGAGGTACCGGGGCAAGTCAGGTGCTGAAACAAGGGCTTAGAAATCATCCACATGGAATGTCATCTTTGTCAAGATGAGACCAGGCCATGAGGAACAGACACTGGTAGCTTGATAGGAATGAGGTCTGTCTAGCTTACAAGTATGCTTATTTATGTGGTTTTTTAAAACTTAAAAATATGAAAATTAAGTCCATATTTTAAAATCAGGAGATTTTCTTACAATATAATGAATTCTTGTTTCTCTTTAAAACTCAAAAAGATAGGCCGGGGAGATGGCTCAGTGGAATAAGCGCTTCCCTGGCAAGCGCAAGGGCCTGAGTTCAATCCCCGGTTCCGCCAAAAATAAAATAATAAATAAAAAATAAAAATGAAACTCAAAAAGATGTAGCTCAATGTGAACTCTTGTCTACACATGACAACAGCCACAGTCTTCCTTCTTAAGATCCTGGTTTAATTTCTCAAATTCACTCCAGCACCGCCCCACTACCAGCCATCTGTCCACCACTCAGAGTCCCTAGAGACAGAAAGTAGATTGGTGGCCTAGAGCTTGGGGCATGTCATGGGGTCTTAGAAGCTGAGGAGTGTGAGATCCCTTTGGGGATGAATGAGATTATGGTAGCAGTTAAGCAGCTCTGACTACAGTAAAAACCATTGACCTGTACACTTTAAATAAGTGAGTTGAATAATGTGTATGTTATCTCAATAAAGCTATTTTTAAAAGCAAATGTATTTACTCTTGCCCTTGCAGTGTTGGTTTTCCTGTAACAAATATTTGTCAGCAAATGGTTCTCTACTGAGAAGTGGAAAATGTAGACTGAGATTATATATTTCAAGAAAAAAATAGGAAATAGTACATCTCCTTGTGATGATAAAGGCAAACACTTGGGCCTCTTCCCCAGTGTATGTTGCCTTCATAGCCACAAAGGCATGGATATTAGGAATAAATTTGGTCATGCCCAACTCCCTGGGGTCCACTACAACCAAGAAGAAAGGGAAAATCGAGTCAGAGGATGAAAAGAAGTAATGGACATAGTAAAAGGAAAAGTAAAGAAGGCTAGTAGATAGGGTGCAGAGGAAGTGGGAAACTATCCACTCCTGGTAAGCAGTGAAGGAAAATGAGAACAGTGAAGTCAGGGGCTCATAGTGTGCCAGTCAGTGAGTGAGCTGAGAGAGAGAGAGAGGGAGGAAGGAAGGAAGAGAGAGAGCAGGAGGGGGGAGGAAGGGAGAGAGGGAGGGAAGCAGACAGAGAGACAGAGAGAGAGGCTAACATCCCCTGAATCCTGAATATATTGTTGAGGAATCCCGAAATTCATATTTCATCCTTAGGCATAGAGTACTACTGAGATTTTAAGTCGGGGGATAGGACAGTCATATCAACATGGTCTAGATGACTTGTTTTCATGTTAATTTGTGCCATACTTTGAGTTGTGCACATGATGAACAAAGGTTACCCCAAATTTTGTTCTTTCCTATCTAAATTCCTGCAAGCTAAAATCCCCAGTTTTACTGATTTCCATCTAATTCATGCCTGGACCTATTTGAACTAGAAAAAAATATTTCTAATCTTATCTACCCCAGCTGTCTAACCCAGGTATCTCTCAGCCTAGCATTATTATATTTACACTGCATAATTCTGTGTCATAGGCCTTGTTCTGTGCATAATCAAGCACTTAGCAACATTCTTTGGACGCAAATAACACTCCAAATTAGACATTGCCAAAAAAAGTCACCTCTTTTTAAGAACTACTGCTCAGTGTTTATTTGTGGCAACATTTGCACCCAAAAGCTTAAGCCATGTGCAGTCTAGAGACCACCCTCAAGGAGCTGGCCTGGAAAAGAGAACTGGTGCCTATTCCATGCTGCAAGGTACAAATCAGATGATGCAGAAAAAGAAAAACAAATGAGAAATTCAAGCCTTTATTTGGTTTTAGCTCATTCTTTGGACTTGTCTGTGTCCTCAGTCTCCTCCTTAGGGGAAAAAAAAATGGTATCTTGAAGACAGACAAACAGAAGATCCAACAGGGCCTCCCTAAGGCTAGAATTCCTGAGGTGGCCCAAGGCCAAGGCAAGCTTCAGAGGTAGGAGGTAATCTTTGGATACACCAGACATGATAATGAGACTTGGATTCACAAGTGTAGGACTCAGAAGCTTGGCTCTATGAAGGAAGTAGGAGGCAGGGCAGGAGTGTTTTTGTGCCAGTCATGTTAAGAGGTGAAGCTTTGGAGATGTAAGATGCTCACTGAAATGCAGCTTGGAGTAGACTAGGAACTCAGATGAAGTTTACTTCAGATCCTCCCTCTTACTGGAAAGTCTTCGAAGGTAAAGGAATGTTTCTCCTGGAATGGAGATGCCTAAAATTGACTAATTAGGGGCCAGCCAGATAGCTTAGCAGACTAAAGTGCCTGCCTGGCCTTTTCCAGGGCGATTGAGACTGGGCATGGTGGCATGCCTGTAATCCCAGTGCTTGGGAGGCTAAAAACAGAAGATCACAATGAATCTGATCTGTGTAGTAAGACTCTGTAGACCCTCTACTAAATACATAAAAAATAAATAAAAATGAAATGAAATAAAACAGATTAATTGTAAAACTTGAGATCTTTTCCAGACTCCCTTTCTGGATATGTGTATGGGGGGGGGGGGTTAATGGAATGTTGTGTATATGCCACCATTTTTCCTATATTGATAAGAAAAAATTATCAAGCTTAAAAAAAAGTCTGGCATGATTAAACTAAGACTATTTCATAACTGGCTCCTATAAAGTAGTTTTCTGCCTTAAATATTGAGGGACATGATTATTATTAGCAATGGCTCCAAATTGCTTGTTTGACTTCTGACTGTTGGTTAACCCAGTAGTGGTTACATTCGCTGAAGCTAAAGGAAATCTGTGCTGGTTTTTATCTCTTGTCTCATGCTCCTTCACCCTGTCCTCCTCCTATTCTAATTCATCCGTGTTTGGGGTGATGAACCAACCAAACAATGGGTAGGAAGTGGACATTATTCGTGTGCAATGCCATTGCAAGAAAAGGCATCCCTAGACATGGGGTTTCCCTGGCTCATTGCAGGTGCTTCTGGATCCAGCTGTGTGACTGCTGCACTAGGAAACACCTGGAGTCACAATGTGAACACCCGACTGATCCTCCAGTACCTCAGTTCAGAGAAAAGACAGGTGAGTGTCCCAACCATGTTCCATGTAGGCCAAAGGATAAGGTGCACTTAGAGATCAGAGCATCTCCAGTACATGTAGGCCACATGTCCTTTCTGAGCTGGAACTGCTAAAGGAACTATAAAGAAACCCAGTCTGCCCCGTTAGCATTTATAATACAGTAGGGACCAATTGTACTATGTAAGAATAGATTCCACTGAGTAACTGTGAATGACCAAGGACCATGTCTCTAGGGATTTCAAATTCTCCATCTCTCCTTTCACAGTAATGTATATAAAGTAAAGAGTGATTGTAACATTTGATGTATGTATGTTTTGAAAACATTAGGCTAAATGAAACATGTTAAGTGAATAAATGATTCCCCACATTCTGGGTACTTTTTTTTTTCAGAACTGGGGATTGAACTCCGGCCCTTGCACTTGCCAGGCAAGTGCTTATTCTACTGAACCATCTCCCTGGCCCCCTGGGTACTTTTATGTTAGCACAGAATGGTACTAGAGAGACTTTCAAAGAATGATGACTTTGTCAGCATCCCTTATTTATTGTTTCCATCTGGGGCCCAGATGAAAATCCAGGAAAGTCTACTTCCACCCAGGAGGGCATACTGTCTAACCTTTCTAGATCTTACCTCTCCACTCCAGAGAAAGGAACTCCACAGTCTGACCTCTTTCATAATCAGGAACTCATTCTCCTACTGTCTTACCTTAACCTTATATGACCAGATGCAATCAGGTCCTCTCCTACAAGCAAGGGAAGGACAAAGACAAGGTGAATATTCTTATGTTTTGGATGGGGCACCAGATTTACTCATCTTGCTAAATATAATGACAGATTCAATTTATTAAAACACTTGAACTATCCCACTGATGGTCCTTCCCAGGAAAGATGAGGGCAGGGTATTGTTGCCTTTACATGCATTAGGTAAGTTGGCTCCAGGAGGCAGGAATCATCTGAAAAATAGGATGAGCCTTGGCCTGTTCCAGACATAACTTTACAAATGACCTGGGTTTCAGACCAGAGGATTCTTGTTGGTTTTCTCAGGACTCTGTAAATAACATTCCGGCTTTGTGATGGGCCCTGAAAAGCTAGAACGGCTTGTTTTCGTCCAGGGAGGCATTCTCATCTTCAGGCCCTGGTGTGCTTATTACCTCAGTGATACCTTTTGCCTGATGATTCAGGTATCCTGGGTTCTCGGCCCATTACTCCTTCTCTCCTTGATGGCAAACATCCAGAAGTATTCCCGGAAACCTAGGGGCCTTTGAGTTGCACCCTGGATGGTAAGGCAGGATGAACAACTGCAGCTGCCCCAGAGACTGTGATGGTGGTCAAGCTGTCCTATTAGAAAACTCTCTTCCTGTAAATCAGTGGTGATCCATTCATTTTCATGGCTTCTTGGCCTTACTTCATGAAAACTTATAGCTTATCCCAGCTTTAGATTTTAAATGGCACTCTTACTGCCATACATTAATATGTGATTTGGCCTCTCATATGTGTTGTCATGGATTCAAGGCTCCCAGCTTCTTGTTTTACTAAAGCTCAGTCAAAATTTTTACGAAAAACTTGGAGCTGCATTTTTTTTTCTTATACTAACTTAACCAGTCACTTCTACTTTGTCAGTGTCAGTAGGATAGAACTGAGAAAACAAATGCTACTCTTCTTCTTCCCTTTAAAAGCTGGAGAATTTTGGTGGTCTATGGCACTTTGTTGATGAGGTCAGATGCAGGCCACTGGCCACAAGAATGAGGAACAAAGTGTAGGTTGACCAGTGACAAGTTATCAACCAACATCCTGTTGGATGGGTCAGTGATGTTATCTTAATCTACAGAGGACAACTTGTTGCTATCATTACTAATCAATCTCTTGAAATGCCTCTGAATCATGTTTTCAAACAATGACTTGCAATGAGTGTAAAGTATGGCCAGTAGTAAAATGGCCAACCCATCCAAAAGGAGGTACTTTTAACTATTGTATGGAAATAAGCAGGCTTTGGGGGACTAGTTGTTCAATATTTTACCTAATAAGTAAGCTACAGTTTGACATAGAAAATGTCCATCTGATGACCTTCTGATGCCTTAGCAGAGGCCATGCTTAATGATTTACTGTGGTCTTACTTCATGACAAAGAATAAAAACCATATGAAGATAAGCCTTTTTTGGTGATATATGCAGAAAAAGGTATATTAAAGCTATCCTTTGATTAATTGTACCAAATGATACTTTCTTATAATACTATTTAATGGAAGAACCTTCTAGAATGGCCATACCTCTGAGACACCAACCGCTTGGAAAGGATACTGGAATGGTATAGATTTTTGTTATTGTTTTTTGTTTGTTTGTTTGTTTTCTGTCCACAAGAATAGACCTTTACCACAAGGGATCAAGGTTATGGGATGAGAATCATGTTTGATCCCACTTCTATGACATTGTGCTCCCTACCAAGGCTCTTGAATGTGCGGCTTAGTCTGGGTTTGTAGCACTAAAGAGGGTCATGTTAAGCCAAGCAATCTTCATTTAACCCAAGAGCTGAACTGCATAGCTCAAGGGAAGGAGTCTTCCATGACTAGTTATTTTCCATACACCCTGGAAACTCTGTAAAATATATAACTAAGAAAGCAATCTCCTTATCAGGGCACAAGCCAAGTTAACCCCCTTGTTTATTCTGCTTCAGTGTTTGGGGAAAAAAACCTCTTAAGAGGCCAGGAAACATTTTCATTGGACTAATTTAACTTTTCCTCCCCTTTTGACTTTTATGTACTCTTCCTACTCTGCTTCAATCCTGCTTTGCTCTTTTTGCCCGTCACATTCCTAGAGTAAAATTAACACGGCGCTGTCAGTGAATGGTCGGAAACAGTGCTTGCTGTCAATCCAAAGGAAGGGGAAACCATTATGGCCACATTGAGTCTTTCCAGGAGAGGGTGGAGCCTGACCCGAAACCGATGCTACTCAAGCCTGGCTGCCTTCAGATTTATCACAGAAGCATTTCCAAAGTGCCATCCATAGCTGCGTCCTACTGTTACCAGTTAAATAAAGATCTATACTGGGGCCGATTGGGAGGCGTGCTGGGCACCAGTGTTTGTATTAGTTGTAAAGCTGGTGGCACACCTGTAATCCCAGCACTCAGGAGGCTGAAGCAAGAGGATCACTGCAAGCTCAAGGCCAGGTTGGGCTACATAGTGAGTGCAAAGCCGGCCTGGATTGCTGAGTGAGACCCTGTCTCAAAAAGCAAACAAACAGGACTGGGGAGGGCCAGGGAGATGGCTCAGTAGAATAAGTGCTTCCTTGGCAAGTGCAAGGGCCTGAGTTCAATCCCTGGTTCCACCAGAGAAAAAAGAAATAAAACAGGGCTGGGGAGATAGTTCAGCAGTCTAAACATCTACCTAGCAAGCACAAGGACCCAAGTTCGATCCCTGGTACCACATGCCATGCCAGCCACCAAAAGCAGGCATGGTGGCACATGCCTGTAATCCCAGCACTGGGGAGGCTGAGACAGGAGGATCACTTCAAGTCTGAACTGCGTAGCGAGACCCTGTACCAAATAAATAATAAATAATTTTCAAAAGCCAGCAAACAAAAGGCTGGCCCAGGTAATTCTAATGTACCAAGTTTGGGAACCCGGCTGTAAGTAGTAAGCACCACTGGGTTGGTTAGAAAAGTGAGCTGGTAAAGCCCAGGGAACAGCACAGAAGAAAGGCAGGACAGCAGCCACGTCCTGGAGTGGGAGTGGGAGGCGAGGGCTCTCCTTGGAATCAGAACAGAAGGTGGTGTGCTTAATCGGCCTGTCTGCCCTTTCCACACAGACACTGCAGAGTCAAAGGATGAGGAAAGTAGCCCACACTCTTTAGTTATTCACGCGCAGTGTGTGCTGTACGACATCATGAACTAAGTGAGCATAGAGGAAGTGTAGTTCCCCTGCCCAAGGAAGGTTCTGGGGTGTCTAAAGGGCAGCAGCTTACAGAGGGATTGGTTGACGTCTGCATTTGGAAAGCTATGGCAGTAACCACGTGCCCTGTGGAGAGGGGCTGGAAAGGCTGGAGGGCAGATGGCTGTATTTGAAAGGATGAGGAAAACTCTCCTGAAACATTCCAACTATTTCTCCTCAAATTCTCATAAAGTCTGTTCCTACGGTCCAGAGATGGGGTTATATAAATTTTGAAGTGCCCTGGAAGGAGTAACGAAATAAATTAATCCTGACTAAGCCTCACACTCTCTTGATGAAATAAATATTATGGCTCTCTTATTTCAACAAATGGGAAGGAGGTGATTTCTTCATATGGTAAGTTTGTTTAAATGGACTTTATAATAATATTTTCATCTTTTATTTAGAAGGACCCTGAAGTTACAAAACACTTGAGGGATGAGCCAGGAGCTGTTGGCAGCACTGGTCCTGTTACTCAAGTTCCTGGTGCTGACTTGGGTCCAGGGCTTCCCTCAGAGTCCCAGGTCTTGCATCTTGGAATTACTCAGTGTTTCCTTTATGGTGATCAAAGTATCCTCTCACAGTCCATTTTATATGTTCAATTCTGATACTTTTAAGCTCTGAATTATGAGTCCTTTGAAGTCTATGTCTGAACTTATTCATGTAGTCTTACGGCTAAGGACAATGCTTAACATTTAAATGTATTTGATATATTTATTGGAACGAGAAAAAGAAAAGGAGGGAAAAATAAACCCCATGTGTCTATATGTGAGCCCAGTCTTGAGGAAATAGGACATACTGCTGATTTGCATCGAATCAAACTTTGCAGCTTAATAGTTCCTTAAAAATATTAGTAACTGTTGCTTTAAAAGGATAGCATCAAACCTTGAGAATTATAAGCAGTTAACCGTATAGAAATACCAGGGCTGGCCAGATAACTCAGTGGATTAAAGTGCCTGCTTAGACAGAGCGAAGCAGCCAGGGTTTGATTCCCGGGCCTGCTCTGCCAGGCCCACCCCTGGGGCTCACTGAGATGATGATTTAAACTGGGCGTGGTGGTACACCTGTAATCCTAGTGCTTGGGAGGC